TCAACGCGAGCGTCCTTAAAGCGTGGTGGACTGTAGTAGGGAAGGAAAAATGCACCAGGAAAGTATTGACCGTTCCTCACACTCGGAGCTGAGTCAAGAATAAAACGAGCTTTTCGACGTTCAACTGTGCTACAAGTAGAATGACCGAAGACCTATCGTGGCACTCAAACGATTCCAAGAGTCCCCACTGAAGGGTGTGCGACGGGCGGTGTAAAACACCAAAAACGACACCATACTGGCCACGCACGTCGTGCACTATGTTACGCTTCATGTGCTAGATGTGCCCCTTGCATCTGCTGTGGACGGGATGTTTCCGACTAAAAAAGTCCCCCGGAACCTCTCAGATTATTGGGTCTGGGCGTAGGTTAGGGCCGACATACACATATGAAAGTAGTTTGTTCACCTGGGGGCTTCAAACGGTCAGATCCAAATCGTTCAGAGGTGATCAAGCCCCAGGTGAAAAAGATGAAGGCAAGTACTGAAACTGAAAAAGGAGTAACAAGGCTACTGCTCTCTCCACTATTTTCGTTTGCGCGCCCTATTGATTTTGTTCTCTTGTACCTTCTCTTGTCCCGCCCCGCCTCCCCGGGGGTCCTTTTGCTCATCTGTAGCTCTTTCACAACTCCGTTTCTGGCATGCAGTTCGCTGGCCTCCTCTTGATTCGCATGCCATGACCACATTCACCCCTCTGCCTTGTGTACGATGACATGCCGTGCTCGTTGCTCGGGGTAGCTCACCTGGGTTGAACGTCCCACAAACTATCGCAATTTGTGTGGTAGCCTCAAACGAGGGTGATGCGGAGGCCCCTAGAGCCCCCGGTTGCCATAGGGATAGACAGCAATTTCGCAGTCAAGTATTTGCCAACTGCTTTCGCTGCAGTAGCGATCTAAGTACGCCCAATGCTCTGCGTACTTCTTTCAACTTGAAACCGCTTAAACTAAACACGGAATCTTCTTTTCGACCGCGAAACAAGCGCAACAATTCTGATGTTGTTGCAGTTGTACTTGTAGTTGTTGTCTTCGTTCACATTACACTTGCTTGTCAGTTGCTGATCCCAAAATTTGGCAAAGGCTCGGTCCGTGGTCACAAAAAAGGTAAAGCCATCAGAAGATCTAATGAACGCACACTTGTTAGCAAGAAAAGGGTAAACAAGCCCGAAAAGGTATACCCACCTACAATCATTTGCGTACTACACGTCCGCACACTACTGTTGTCCATTCGCCCCCCCGCCCCCTCCCCTCGGTGTTTGCCATCGGGGTTGGGTTTTCGTCGCTTGGCAACGACGTTGTAAAACAAGCCGCCCCCCCCGGTGTTTGCCCTCGGGATTGGGTTTTCGGCGCTTGGCATCGACGTTGTAAAACAAGCCAATTCACTTCGTGAACTCGGCAACCAGGTTACCGTTTTTTTTTTTTCCCTCCGTTTATTTTTTTTGGCGGTAACCATGATGGTGGTCGAGTAGATCATGTTGTGCGGGGTGGAGAACCCTCACTCCGCGCAAGGGGGATGATCGCACCACGTTGTGTTAAAATGGTCAAGCACCCTCGAGGCAGTTACACAGTGCTTACAACTGTCTCTGGAAGTGAAAGCACCAGAAAATAAATTAATTCATACGCAGCTGTCATCCGTACGCAAGGAAGTAAGCACAAGATGCCGAACACCCTTAGCAGGATGCAGCGCACCCTTCATGCGACTCGCCGAATATCTCACGGCGCTTCGCGCTTGGTGATGTGAGAGCCTGGTCCGGTGAGAACCCGGCGTGCTCCGTCCCGGCTTTGTAGGGATGCGAGGTCAATGGTCTAACGTTTACGGCATGCACGACTATGAGTACAACCCCCCCCCCCCCCCCTGTCCCACTCTTTTCCAAAATAGATGCTTGCGTGCCGACGACAGCTTACTGCTGTCTGTACAATTACACCATGGTAGGCATGGAACAAGAAAGCTAGAGCACGCAGCTGCTTTCTGAAAGACTGCGTCCGCGGACATACAGTAAAAATAGCAACCTACCAAAGCCGTCATTCATTGCAATTGACCTCACCCGAATCTATCCCGATGGTCTGTGTTGGGCAAAGCAGTGTAAACATCGACACTGACTAGGAATCGTCCACATTGAAGGAGTCTTCCACGATGCAGGTACACAATTAAGGCACCCGGGGTATCCGCGCCATGTCTGCCTCGCGAAACCAGTGACTTCATCACACACACAACACCGATATTCAGCAAAAAAATTGACCACACATAATGTTTGTCCGTGCGCCAGTGTTCGATGTCGTCCGCATGCTTTGGTGCCGCTGCTCCGGTGCCGCTGTGGCCAGTCCTAGGACGACCACACTCGACCCGCTCCACGGATCCGTACACGCTCTCCTTGCTGTCCTTTGCAGTCGGTTCTCGCTTTCTCCCTCGTTGCACTTGAGGTTCTTGGTCTGAAAATTTCTCGCGCCGAAGGGGTCATCCAGCCCAATCTTCAGCTCGTCACCACCTGCTTGCTCCCTCCTCCTTTATTGGCGAAGCCAGGTTACTGAGACAGTACAGCTCCCTCTAGCAAACCTAGGGCCGAGTATATTGTGCCTGTTCACCTTGCTGATGGCGTCTGCCTTCGCGCACAAAATGAAATGGGCATTACTGCCTACTACCGACGGCCATAGCGGCCCGTGCATCTGCACTGTTGTTCCTGACCCACCAGTGCCGACCAAACTCCACCGCTACGCACGCCTGGCGGTGGGTGCGCAGCAGCAAGGAGGTATCGGTCCCTTGAGGGTGAGTCTAACCTTGTTCGCTAGAAAGACCCCCCCCCCTTGCTACGGGCCATGCCTAAGCGAAAGCCTTGCTGAGGCAGCGGGGGAAGAAGGGAGAGTGATAGGTCGAACAAATAAGATAGAATCATCCAAGCCCTGCTCCAGGTACGATTTCGCTCCAAACACGTCATTGTGTAACCTTAAACCATTTCGAGAGCTCCCCATTGTCCTGCGTACGAACCCTTTTTAGATTGATGTCGCCCGAACTAACTGGCGGCGAACTTATTCAACCACCCAATCACCATGTATCTTGGTGTGGGGATTCGGGAGGAGTAAAGGTACGTTGTTTTCTCGTGTTTTGTATTTTCAGAACGAGAAAGGAACTTTGAAGATCAATGCAGGGCGGCGGGCGAACGGGGTGCGCTACTTGATCACTGGTGTTTTTTTTCTACCTTCGTCAGTTTCGCTATCTACGAATTATTGATTTTTTTCGAGCGACGTAGTGCTTTATTCCACCTGCGACATATACACTCTCGTCTTGGGTGTGCAGGGGGGCAGAACGTATTGATATTCAGGGCCCGTTGACAGGTTGAAATTTTGAGCGAGAGCTGGTGAGATAGAGGAACTTAGGTTAATCTATATCTAAGTGAAGACCTCAGCGGTCATGGTCATGACCAACTACAGTAGGTTCGGCGGCGTATTTGCCGAGATATCGCTATTTACAGAGCCGTGATCTGTGCCGGGGTAAGATGTACCCGTTGTCCGATTTCGGATATTGGTTGCCATGAGCCATCCAGTACACTCCCCTCTCACCCGTTGTACGGTCACTTGTTGTAGATTTGTGCCTCTTCAGGTAGAGGTGATACTCGGGTAAGACGTGAAAACCTCCGTTACAAAAGTGGTGCCATACAAGTCGCAGCTGCTGTCGGGGCTATCTCCCAAGAATTGAAGTTATTGCCCGGAAATTGTTCTTTTTTTAAACCTCCTTTCGGGTATCCAATTTCTGCTGTGGAAAAAACAGTCGGCTATACGATTTCCACCCGAGTTTTTTTCCCAGTCAGGCGGTTTTTGATGCAAAAAGTTGTTTGCTGTTTTTTTTTTGATGTCGCGGTCATTTTCTTCGCCCAAAAATATTTGGGCTTCTTACGCGGAGGAAAATGACAATTCCCTAGAGCCCAAATTCTCTAAGCCCGAACATATCCAAGGTTCCGGCCGGCGTCAGCGTCGGCTGATACTTTTGCTGTGAGAAAATGAGGGGGAGTCACATGCCGATCATGCCAGAACAAGGAGCTAGACATTTGCTGCCCAAACAGAAACCAGTATCGTGAGGTGATGTACAACACCCTCTGCAGGTGTCTAATTAAAATCTAGGGCGTTTTGCGTCTTGTTGGCTGCACCCGACCCGAAAACGTCAACCCTGCCACGTTGCTCTACCGATATTATTGCCTTCCGGACGAAAAGAGCCGTGTTTGTGCCTGTCGCATGTTAGACCAACCAGTCCACAACATATGCCAGAGAGAGGCTTTAGGCCGACGATATCAACAATCTGCAGCCAAACGCGTGCGTGCGGCCATATACATCTGCTCGCGTCCCATAAAATTAAACGTTGCGCAGTTTGATTGAGCACGGCCTGCACACATGAATCGAAGTGTGTGTCGACGTCCATTTTTTGGACTTTGTTCTTGTTCCGCCGCGTGTTTGCTCCGAGTGTCAACGGCTACCAGTCAATAACGCATGCCAAGCGGAGACTTTAGGCCGACGGCATCCACAAAACTGTAGCCAATGGGGTGCGGTCTACTTACCCTCTGCTCGCGTTCCAACTGGGCGTATTTATTTTGCAGCTGGGTTTCAGTCAGCGCTATCCCCAAAAGAGCATTAAAGACAACTTATCGTGTCCGAATATGTATACATAACTCAATCAAATATGTTTGTGATCGAAATCCATTTTGACATCAAGCAAAACTGTGATCGAATCCATACTTGAGTGAAATATGTGATCGGTCACATACCACTAAATAAATCCTGGTCTAGGANGGGGGGGGGGGGGGGGGGGGGGGGGGGGGGGGGGGGGGGGGGGGGGGGGGTGAACCCGATGTTGGGAGAAAAAAAAAAAAAACGGTTGCCGGTGGATGGTCTAGTGCGTAACCTCGTAGCCTGCTAAGGGCCAGGTCATGGGTTCGAGTCCCGGCAGAGTGAGTTTTCTTCTCACTAAATAAATCCTGGTCTAGGATGAAAGCGACGGGCTGCAACGGTCGTTGTTAGACTGACTCTTATGGCTCCCGAAGGTTGGCCCGATGGAAAAAAAAAAAATCGTTGCGAAGTTCCGGGCGGACAATCCGTTGGAAGCCATATTATGGTCCAACGGATTATTTCGTCTGGTTTTCGAGCATCCTGCTGTGGCATGTAGCGCCAGGGGGCCCACGACATGTCAGGATTCGAGATTGGATTGAGGCCTAGAGCGGCCGAGCGGCCACCACAGACCACACAACCCACGGTAGAGAGCGAGAGCCAAGTAAGTGCAGCACGGGCACCACCATGTCAACCGCCTCTCTTATGCTAGAGAAGAATGCCAGCTCCGACTGGGTGATCAACAGGATGAAGGGCACCAACTGGGGCGACAAACCGAACGTAGGCCATGCTAGTCTGTTCCAGTTCTTGCCGGGGTTTTACGTTGCCATGAGCGTAAAGGAGAGCGGCAAATGCTACAGCGAGCCTGAACGAAATGCAGGGGCAGTCAAAGTTTACAAAAGCTTCGCTGTGCCGGCGTTCCTTCGCTGGTTGGTAGAGGAATACGACTTCACCAATACCCCAGCTTGGCTCACGAAGGACATCATGGGCAGCAACTCGATAGGACCTAAAGTCTTGCGCCCCGGGGCGAACTCGCACATCAGGGGTCGATCCCCCCCGACAGAAAACGAACTCCAACATGTCGCGTTTCCCCGGCTCTGCTTTATTTTGACGGGGGCACCATAATTAACCAGGGAGTTGGTACTGGCTGCACGGCCGGCGAGTACTGTGGTAGTGCCATGTGTCAGGGTGAACAGAAAATCGAATTATTCATCGACTCGGCGCTCTTGGATCGCGCGGTCTGCCTGCCATCGACTCGGCGCTCTTGGATCAATATTTGCGACAATTGGACATGCCGTCCTGCGGGAGGAAAGTCGTGTACCGCCATAAAAAAATAAAGAGAGGAGCGAGCGTGGATACCGTTCCAAGTGTCGCCTTGATATTCACCATCCGTTCCTATCTCTGCTTGGCACCTTACATCATCCGGTCCAAAACACGCGGATGTCTTCCGTGGTCACAGACCAGCTACCCAGATTTTGGGCACACACAATGCACTCGATAGTCAGACGAGAAAGCCAAAACGGCCCAGGTCTTGGCATAGACCTAAACACATGAATAATATAATTGAAGGTCCCAGTCAGACACATCAGGACGAGGAAGGGAATAAGTAGGAACATTCTCGTTCGGTAGGCGGTGCCAAACCCCTTCACTCATTCAGACAACATTGAAAGTGCACGATTTTGATCTATTCCTCCTACATTCACCGCTGGGGTTGACACTGCCATGCCACTTGCGGTGGTTCTAGTCACCAACTTCGCTCAGCTATCGACCAACAGGCGACTCAGATGGTGTACAAAGATCCGGTTACAAAGGTTATAGAACGTAAAATAACAAACAGGGAGAGCGGCGTACTGCACCTAGATCACGGCGAACCACATACATAAATGGTGGACGGCGACAAAACACAACCTCGTACCGAGAACACACTGCAAATAAGACGTTGTAACCAGCACCTGCACCCTGCCTGCACAACCTACCCAGTCCGGTAAACTGATGCAAAACCTTCCATAGAAACATTTCCAATTTGTGGTTATAGGCCAACTAATCAACTAGGGTAAACACAAGCGTCAATCAAAGAGAACATCAGAAAAATATGATAATCGTGACAACAAACCACAACCAGGGGTGTAGAGACAAAAATAAACTGATCGTAGTGGATTGCTTGTAGCCCCAACCCCCATTGCAAGAAGTGTGGCGAACACCGACCAGTACTTAGATTTCATAATGGCATATTATGTAACGGTGCCTCCCATGAAGTGAATCAGTCGAATCCCTAAGGATGCACTCTAAAACGCAGAGGAAGAAAGCCACGATTCTAAGGACATGCAGTACGGCTCCTCCAGCAAACCCACTCCGAGCGTGAAATAACCAAGCCGGTTTGGCATACAGTTCTCAGGCTGAACGAAAACACGCGCGTCAAAGAAAAGAGATTCGCGCACACCAAACCAAAAAAAGCGCCACGTGCACTTTAGCCAGTCGTGGCGTGTCTGAGCCACCGAATGTCGTTCTTCGATCGACGGAATCCAAAGTGCGTCAGAAGCGCGTTCTTCAACTCCCCATGGGCTGCTTCCGGGGTCGTGGTGGTGCCGTCATCGTCCGCCGGGGTGTGGCTGGTGGACCCCACAGTACTCTCGTCCAACAAAGGGTTGTTGTCCCAAGCATCGTGGAGACCCGCCCTCCCTCCCCACTCTTCGACAGTCTCGAGCTCGTCCAGCCCGTCGAACGCGTGCAGCATGTTGTGTAAGGTGCAGCACGTGAAGAACAAGTTGTCGATGACGTTCTTATCCTGGAAAAGGATTCACAACTTCAGAATCCTGAAGCGGCCCTTCAAGATGCCGAAGAAGCACTCGAAGTCTTTTCGGACGCTCTCCAGCCTTTGCTCCACTTGCTCTCCATGTCAGCCTGAGGGTATTTCGTAGGGGGAATGAGAACCCCCCACTAGTTTAAAAGAGAAAACAAGGCATGGCGAAAGGCGTGCGAGGGATGCGGGCGTGACGGGCATGGTTAGCTGCAGCGCGGTAGAATATGAACAACACAAGAACGCCCACAATAACGGGGGCACGTGCAAAATAGAACCCTGACTCGCAACGTGGCGTAGCGGCAAGGGAAAGATGCGGTCTCTCCGGGCGGGGACGGGGTGTTTGTGCTCTGTATGCCTCAGCCGTTGTATTAACCACGTGTCCTCGAGAGGCCGGAGCATTGCTCCCACAAGACCGATCGCCGATAGCCATCACAGACATATACCAGCACCGGCACTTTCTAGACCATTGGAGGCACACGCACGGTTCTCGACGGAACGGTTGGGGGTGCTCTTACCAAAACCCTTGTCCCCTTCGACAACAGACAAGNTCCGGGCGGGGACGGGGTGTTTGTGCTCTGTATGCCTCAGCCGTTGTATTAACCACGTGTCCTCGAGAGGCCGGAGCATTGCTCCCACAAGACCGATCGCCGATAGCCATCACAGACATATACCAGCACCGGCACTTTCTAGACCATTGGAGGCACACGCACGGTTCTCGACGGAACGGTTGGGGGTGCTCTTACCAAAACCCTTGTCCCCTTCGACAACAGACAAGATCAGAATACAAGCTACAGTAGCCATTCGCAAGGACGATTCGGGGCGACCTACGTCGGACGGGTGTTACTGCTATGTCCGGAAAACAGTGGTTGACCAAACCGTGATGATACCGTAACTTTAATCGTCCCACTCCAGAGGTGGGGTCTGCCACGCTGTTTACCCGAGCAGAAACGAAAATAACACCAGGGGGACAGCGCCGCGGATATTTCAACACCAAACTTGGTGGTCGTGTTTGATCTCCCTGTGGTGGCGTGTGTGTAGGGCGTCGGTTCTCGGGGGTGCCTCAGTAGCAACAGGTTGGTGGCGGAGTAGCCTGAGCTTCCTTTCACCTTTTGTTTTTTGATGTGACGTTTCGCGGCGACATCTTCCCCGCATAAATCACGTCGAAAATTTCTCAAACGAAGCTCGGGCTACTCCGCTACAGACCTGTTGCGATTGAGGCACCCCCCGAAAGATGGTCGACGCTGAAACTGATGCCTCTTGCAGCAAAAAAGTTGTTGCACCCAACCTTTTTTTTTTCGACTTTTCTTCGCGATGAGAGGGGCCAATACCGCCTACTGGCGGTATTTTACCGAGTAAACCCTTGAAAAAAAAGAGAAGGCCCCACCCAAACGAGGGAGGGGGGGGCACACGGAGGCTANCCCCCCGAAAGATGGTCGACGCTGAAACTGATGCCTCTTGCAGCAAAAAAGTTGTTGCACCCAACCTTTTTTTTTTCGACTTTTCTTCGCGATGAGAGGGGCCAATACCGCCTACTGGCGGTATTTTACCGAGTAAACCCTTGAAAAAAAAGAGAAGGCCCCACCCAAACGAGGGAGGGGGGGGCACACGGAGGCTACTCTGAGGCATTGACGTGCTATCTTGAAGAAGTCACGTGTTGTACGTCAACACACACATTGGGGGTGCCAAACTTGCTCCAAAGATTCAGCAGACGATTCATAACAATCGCAATTGTGGAACATGCCCACACCACACTGGAAACGGCACGAGCCGGACAATCACAGAACTTACAAACCGCCCTCACCTTATTGTACGCGTTGTCCACAATGCTGTAGTTTCCTTTGCGCTCGAAAGGTTGGCCGTTCTTGTCGAAGAGCGTGTTCACCTTCTCCGTGTAGGCAGGGTCACGGCGGATCTTCGCCACTGCCGTGTCGTACATGATGGGCTTGTCGCTCATGGCACCGGCGAAGCCCTTTGTAACGACAAGGACATGTCCGGTGTAATCTACGATCGCCTCGTACGCGATACTCGGGAACCCGTCCTTCCCCGTGTACTGCCTTGCCCAAGAATACGGGCAGCACGCCCACCGGATATGGGTGACGTCGGTTGACCCTATCGCTCCCGTGAACTCCAGGAGATTATCATACGCCTCCATCACCTGATAATGTTTATATCGATCCGGGAAGACGTCGTGTGTTTTGTGGGGCACCAAACAAAGCAATCACAACTTCGTCGTTGTAAGCAAAGCTTGCGCGCAGCTAACCCAACATGAGAACATTACGCATTGCGATAAACGTGCTCGGCCGTGCGAGCGCATCGTTCGAGACCATTCTTATTGCTTGCTAGGGGTCTGTGTTTTTCAATCACGCACACTGTGCCTTTCAATTAAACACGCTCTAACCGAACACGCGGGACGCATACATACGCAAGTTTTTTTAGTGTAAACAGCATGTACAAATCAATGTTGACCGGCGCCTGTCAAGAGAATACACAGAAAACATGTTTATTTTTGTTTCTGTTTTCGTCCTATTCTTCGTGGTAAGATGTGTACTGCACTTTTCAGCGCGTGTAACTAGAGTACTACGCTTTTCAGTGTATTCTTTCGTACAACTACAACCATCCAGGGTCACACCGGAGGGGGTAATCCCCTGGGCTTCTTCCATGTATTTTGTCACAATGCCCCACCTTCCTCCTGCGTTGCGTGCTGAATTTTATTTCTATCGCAAGAAGGACCAGCCGTCCCTTTCCTCAACTGTGCTATCGTCGAAGTTGGCACTCACGAGGGCTTTTCAGATATATTTCCCTTTCACCCGCACACTTAAAAAAATTCACCCCATGGGGATTCGAAGTCAAGACCTCTGCGTCTAGCACGACCGCTGCGACTAGCGGTTTACGAGGATACCACTAGACCACCGGGGCGACCGGTTACGCAAGGAAATACGGGCGGAATGGTCTTCAATACAGCGGAAAGCAAGTGTGGTTGCACGAATAAAAAAAGTGCGGCAGACATTTCATGAGGTGTAGGTCACCTCGTCCTGGTCCTCGCCAGTGGGCGTACACACGTGGTCGTGATAAAACTCCTGGGCGAACAGCTTCGTGAACTTGTGAAAGCTAGCCTGTATAACGCCCTCACTCATGTGTGAAGCCGGGCTCATGTCCTCGAAGAAGTTTCCCCTACCCAAGATGTGCAGGGATGACAAGACCTGTGCACATAGACGTCGTGCGCGGTCTACGGTCGGCGGGAAATGATCGTCGATTGTCAGGTTATTCGCGGTGCTGCATTTTCGACTACTTGAAGAACATGGTATACCGGAAGGGGTATGGGCAACACAGTAGTATCTTCCTGCAGCAGCAGCCCTGGCGATAGACGTAGAAAATGGCATGAGGGGGGTTTGGCGAGAATAAAATCCACCTGCAGCAGCTTCTAAGGTGTACCCCACGTTTTTCTCATTTTGGCACAAGCTTTGCGGTCTACGGTACGACTTTGTACTGCTGCACATTTCGTTCATGGATGTAGACTAAGTGTAGACCATACTTATGTTGCCTTTGCTCTCCTACGACACGCTGTCGCGCCACTCTGTATTTCACATACTACGTGCGTGCGTGTGTAGACCATACATTGTCCTTGGTCTCGGTGTGTACACAATATGCATAGAGTCTAATAGTCTAGATGGATGCATTCATGCCAGTTTTGGAATCGGCACGTCTCAACAATCACCTTCAGCTCGACTGGGGTGCGCATGCGCCCGGCCACATCTTTCTTGGGCATGGGGAACCACTTCTTCTTGACCAGCTCCATGAGCTCGGTGAAGGACTGACTAGTAGGGGATGCGGAAGCGCTTCCGAAAAAGCTGGCCTCTCTTGGCGCTGGTTCCTTGAGGCCCGTCTCGCCCAGCATGCGCCACCAAAACGAGGCGCGGTAGTCTGGCCGTGGAAGAACTCGGCGGGTACGCTTCACGGGGGAGCCACCGCCAAGGCCTCCGTCCTCCAACTCGTCGCCATCTGGGAAGGACCGCAGGACAACTCGCCAGGTCGCCACGGTAAGCACAGCGCATTGCCGCTCGCGACGCCTCCGCTTCGCTGCTGCAAGAAGAACAAGTAGGTGGGCATGTCGTTTGTCGTCGCTGCCGCTGTCGTCGCCCGCACTCGCGTGCTCCATCGCGCACCCGNAAGTAGGTGGGCATGTCGTTCGTCGTCGCTGCCGCTGTCGTCGGCCGCACTCGCATGCTCCATCGCGCACCCGGTCCAGTCTGTGCTGGGTGCTGGAAAGCTCGTGCACACACACGCCACGCTCGGGTGCCGCTCGGGATGGATCGTTAGTCTACGCAGCAAAATCGATTAAGCAAACATATGGGATGAAGTATTCAATCCGTGCTTTGGGGTTAGGGTTAGGGTTAGGGAGAGGGTCTGCGTGCCCCCTCCCTGTTCTTTTTCTAGATTATCTTAGAATCCCGCGTAGGCGGTCCGGATGGATGCGGTGTGATCCCGCGATTTCGGTGTGTTCGATCAAAACGAACAATCCGCCGGCAACATCCGGACCCGATTCCCATTCGAAATATTTCCCCAACTATCGTTGGGCCCTCGGCCCAGATGTTCCAAACGATTTTTTTCACCCTAAACCCGCCGCATCCGTGCCCATAAGATGGACATGCCACGAAAATTGGGGAAAAAAAAATCCGTTCCGTGGCCAATTTTCGGGAGCCATAAGA